TGATTTGATGATGTGGCAGTCAAAGTTTGCTTCATCGATCTCCATGATATTGCGGTATCTCCATAAGTAAACACATAACCTGTTTGAGATTTTGCTTTTTGCGGATCAGACAAATATCCTGCATCAGCATATCCAACAAGTGTGGCCTTGGCATCTTTGCGGTAGAATAAACCAAGGTCGATGGTACCATTGAGGTATCGCAAAATGTGTTTAATGCCATTCCAATGCCTCCTAGTCGGGGTTGAGCTATGTCTGGCTAACAAGTTCACTGAGAATGCAATATCAGGACGAGTGTTGTTTGCTAGATACATCAAAGCTCCAATAGCACTCAAGTATGGTATTTCCGGACTGAGTATTTCTTCATCATCTTCACGAGGTCGGAATGGATCATCATGTACATTGAGAGAGCGGACAACCATCGGGGATGTGAGAGGATGTGCTTTATCCATATAAAACCGCTTCAGAACCTTCTTCGTGTAATTTGACTGGTGGATGAGTATTCCGTCTTTCAAATGGTCAATTTGAAGACCAAGACAGAATTTTGTTCTCCCAAGATCTTTCATCTCAAATTCTTTCATGAGATATTTTGCAGTATTTTCTATTTCATCAGAAGTTCCAATGATGTTTAAATCATCAACATATACTGCAATAATGGCAAAGCCTGATTTAGATTTACGGATGAAAACACATGGACTAATTGGATCATTTTTGTATCCTTCTCTGAGCAGATATTCACTGAGACGATTATACCACATTCTGCCAGATTGTTTTAGTCCATACAGTGACTTTTCCAATTTTATGGAAAACATCTCTCGAGGTTTTGAACTATAAACCTCAGGCAATTTTAGCCCTCTAGGAACTTTCATATATATGTTAGTATCGAGAGATCCATATAAATATGCTGTCACTACATCCATTAAATGCATTTGAAGCTTTTCAAAGACAGACATGCCTATTAAAAATCTCAACGTAGTTGCATCAACTACTGGGGAATAAGTTTCTTCATAATCTATCCCCGGGATTTGAGAAAAACCTTGGGCAACGAGGCAGGCTTTATATCTCACAATTTCATTTTTCTCATTGCGCTTACGCACAAAAACCCATTTGAAACCAACTGGTTTCACGCCTTTTGGCGTAGGAACTATAGGCCCAAAAACACTTCGTTTTTCAAGTGATTTCAATTCTGCTTGAATTGCTTCGTTCCATTTTGGTCAATCATGTCTACGTCGACATTCATCAACTGAAGTTGGCTCAATGTCATCATTTTCATCCATGATGTTTGTGGTAATGGCATATGCGAATATATCATCAACATGAACATCTTTTCTGTTCCATTGCAATCCCGTAGAAACGTAATTTATTGAGATCTCATAATTATCAACGTTTCTATCTTCATCTAAATTATTCGCATCTTCAGAGGTTGTTAAATCCTCATTTGAAACAAATTGTTCGTTGATATTATTTTTTATATCAACATGCTCGGTTTGTTCATTTTCTTTCTTTGAAGAATGAACGTCTTTTGTTTCAAACATTGTCTCTTGCCTTTTAAGTTTTCTTGGTTTTACATCTTTTGAACCAAGTGGTCTGCCACGCTTTTTGCGTATTGAAGACTCATTTGCAAGAGTTTTTTCATTTTTCTCT